AAAGAAATCAAAAAAAAAAAAAAAAAAAAAAGGAAGGAAATCTCCATCTTCATATCAAAATTTTTGCATGTGATTGATTTTCTATAAATGAAAATAATATTTGAATCGTGTATTTTCCAAAGTGCCTATATGTGAACATTTTTCATTTTGAGAATTAGTGATGTAATCCAAATCCCTTTGCCTCCCAAGCATCAGAGAAAACCTTCACTTTATATATTTCTCTCTGAGATTTGTGAGTCTTCTTTAGCTGATGAGTTTGACACAGGGAATTGAAGGTATAAATCATAACAAATCAAATCTGGGATATTTAGGTGATAATATGGTCTATGTTTGATAGCATTTAGACAACTCTAAGATACAATGCAAATGTAAATGACTGTTCGCATTGTATCACTGTTACTGAACTTTGATAACTCTTCTCTTTGCCATTTTGGATTTATTCTCTTTAAAGCTAATTCCAAAATCAATGATATAGGTCACAGGGGAAAGCCTAAGAAAAGAGTTGAGTATTCAAAAGACGATTACTTGGCCTCCAGAAAAATTTCCACAGAGCAGGTGATTTCAGAGCTGTGCATTTTTTTTTGAGGATGACTTTTATGAACATATTACTAGAAGAGAGAGGGAAGTGCAAGTAGTCTAAGGTGATGTCTCTATGTGTCAAAACATACATTACCAGAAAACAATAATCAAATGACTTAGCCACCAGCAGATAATCAAGAATCTACTATTCTGTGATTGATTTGCCTATTACTGGGTAGCTCTGTTATTTGTGGTTATTCGAATTTTTTTAACATTTCCAATTGTTTTCACTCAGTAGATATTGCCAGATGTTTCTGTCCTATATACACTGGTTTTTGTCCGATTTGGGAAAGACAAAGTGGAGTTTATAACAGGATCTGACAATTGCTCTTGAAAATTGTTCAGTGCAAATGCAAACTGGATGAAATGTGTTTCATAATAAAAAGATCGGGAAGAGAGAAGGTTGATTGAAACTACCTGAGGTTACTTGTGGAAGATTTTATCGCATATGTAGCTCTACCTTTATACATTCAGATGCAAATTATACTCATTTGCTTAATCATATTCCTAATCAAGTTGTAGGCAAGCTCTGTACCTATGACTAACTGATGACAAACTCATAGTTTCTTTCTTTTTATTTTTTGTTTGTTTTTATAGTTTAATTAATTAAGTTTATTGGTACATTATATATATATATATATATATATATATATATAATGATCACATTTATCATAGAGAATATGTACCTGATCCTTCTGTTTTTTCCCATTCCCCTCTCCTTTCTTCAACCCTTCTTCCCCTACTTATTCACAAAAGCTTTGTTTCCATTTTTTCTTCTTTTCTCATTTTTTCCTGTTCCCTTCTGTACTTTACCCCTCCCCTCTATCTAGTTTCCCTTCCCATTTGAACATTTTCTTCCTATTTCACAATATCTAATACACATTTTGGCCCTTATTTACACTTTTGTTTTTTCACACCAGAGAAACAACATGGTATTTAGACATGTATGTCCAATTTATTTCACTTAAGGATATGATCTCAAAGTGCATCCATTTAGCTATAAATATTTCAAGCTCATCCTTTTTATGGCAGAGTACTACACCATTGCATTAAAAAAAAACCTACACCTTCTTTATCGATTCATTAGTTTATGGGTTTTTGATCTGGTTCCAAGATTTAGCTATTACAAATGATGCTGCTATAAACACAGGTGTGCATATATCACTGAAGCAAGATGCTTTTAATTGTTTTAGGAAGATACCAAGAAAAGGAATAGTTGAGTCAAATTGAATCTGTAGTTTTAGTATTTTGAGGAATGTCCACACTGATTTCCATAGTGGTTGCACCAATCTACACTCTGAGCAGCATTAGAGAAGGGTTTCTTTTTCCCCATATCCCAACCAGCATTTGTTGTTGGTTGATTTCTTGATAGCAACCATTCTTTCTGGAATGAGATGAAATCTCAGCATTGTTTTAAGTTGCATCTCTTGAATGACCAGTGCAGTTGAACATTTTTTCCTATCTTTATTTGCCATTTATACTTCTTTATCTAAAATGTATCTATTCATTTCAGATACCCATTTTTAGATTGATTCTTTAAATTTGGGGGGTATGAGTTCTTTGAGTTCTTTATATAGTCTAGATATTATTCCTCTGTCTGAAGGAACATATGGCAAAATGTTTTCCCTTCTCTGTCTGTTGTCTCTTCACTCTGTTGGTGATTTCTTTTGAAACAGGTGCTCACTCTGCAATTCAGGCTGGCCTTAAACTCACTATGTAGACTGGCCTCAAGCTCACAGTAATCCTCCTATCCACCTCTTGAGTGCTCGGATTACAGGAGTGTGTCCCCAGCTCATAGTTTCCTAGAACGAATTATACCCAGTCCTATTGTCTCATCTGACTGATATGATTTTCCAAAGTATCCCAGACTTTATTGGATTCATTTGTGATTTTTAACTCATTAACAGTGAAAGATTACAACTTTTTCCAACATGTGTCATAATAGTAGGTATATCATCTTTCTTTTGGGAAAATAATGACTATTTTCCTTTAGCTATCCTCAATTCTTTCATTTATCATTCTTCATCAGTGTTATTAGGCACAAGATGTACACCAAGATGCTATATCATATTGATTTTAATGCATTTATAATTTTAAAAATTCTTCCCTGTCCAGAAAATTGTTACTATTTCCTTTAATGTTCAACTCATAATTCCTTATATCCTTTAAAATTAACAGTGTAGCCAGAGTTTGTAATTATATAGTGGCCAAGCATGGTTGTTCATGCCTGTAATTCCAGCTACTTAGGAGGCTGAGTCAGGAGGAACAAGAATTCAAGGCTGTGCTGGGCAACATAGCAAGACTCTGTCTCAAATGAAAAAGCTTTACATAGTCATTTGAATATTGTTTGGCTCCATTCTCCATCACAGTTATTATCTGCTCCTTGAGATCAGAATTCTTATCTATTTTTATATACAATCTTATAGCATGTTGCCTGGCACATAGCTAGCACTAAGTAAATGCTTTTGAATTAGTTTGAATTAGTGAATCCGTGAATTAGCAAATGATTTCAAATACCATATCATTCTTGAATTCTTTTCTAATCTCTTTGATCACACACTATCTCCCATCTCACTGATACAGGAGTGTTCAAAGCTGAACATTATGTCTTCTGCATGTCAGTGGAAATTTGCCTACATCCTCACCTTATGCCTTTTATTTTGGCATAATGTATAATAATTAGTAAACACTCTTTTCATTCTCAAAAGTATCTTAGCTTGAACTGTAATTCAGATATTCACCTTATGTAGAACTGTGTGTCAGCGTAACCTGGAGCTGCTTCTAGAAACTTTTTTTTTTACCGTTTTTTGAGTTATTTGTGAACAGGCTCAGTTCCAGTTTTCCTTTCTAAACCTGGGGCTTAGTGCAGTGTCTGGCACTTAATCACTATTCTTTTGAATGAAAAGGAATTCCTGTTCTCCCAAGAAGTTTGTGGTCTAAAATAAAACCACACCAAAAAAATTATAACACCTAGACGTCTACACAGGCTTCAGGATAGCCAATCAACATTTATCTTATGACTTTGAAAGGTAAATCTAAGTCATTTATTTTCTACTTGAGGTTATTAAGGTGCAGTAATAGCTAGTAATTTCAATAAGTTTCCTAAATTTATTGTATTTTTTCATGAACATTATGAAAATATTCACACCAACATTAATGAGTTTTTGTTTTTGTTTTTGCAGGGGTGGCGATTGAACCCAGGTCTTCACCTATGCTAGGCACATGTTCTACCACTGAGCTAAATCTCCAGCCCACCAATGCCAATGTGACTACAACTAAATATTTGATAGTAGAAAAGAGAAAACTGTTCTGTGGTCCACCAGCTAAAAAATCAGACGATTACTTATCATTTTCCAAGAAAATGCACATAGTGCCCAATAAGTGTTTTTAATTTTTGAAATTAAAAGTGGTAGTATAGACAAGCATGGTGGCATATACATGTAATCCCTGCTAACCAGGAGGCTGAGGTAGGATGGCTTTAAATCCAAGGCCAGCCTGGCCAATTTAATGAGACCCTGTTTCAAACATTTTTTATTTTTCATTTTTATTATTTATTTGTTTGTTTGTTTGTTTGTTTTGGTACCGGGATCTAACTCGGGTCCTTGCGCTTTCAAGGCAGGCCACCGAACCCCTGAGCTAAATCCCCGGCCTCAAACATTTTTTAGATAGTAGAAAGGGCTGGGAATGTAGCTCAGTGATGGAGTACTTGTCTGGCATGGAGAAGACCCTGGATTCAATCCTCAGCACCAAAAAAGGGAGTGAATCTTTTGAGAGGCCATTACATTCTAAATGGATGTCAGTCTCAAGTGTCACTTCTGTATGAATATATTTCCAATTGTGACTCCTTAAGTAAGCATGCAGTTATCCATTACATTATTTGAAGTATTGGTTGATTTTCTTCTTATTTGTATAAATAAGATTGAGGTATGACTGGAAATATCTGGTATACTGGCTGTACAGTTAATCTAGTTTTACATTGGTGGGCACAGTTGGTGCCTGACAGGTCCACAGCCTTATCTAGGTGTCTCTCTTTTTTAAAGTAAGGATATTGATGTCTGCTACCTACTTTATATACATTGAGAACCCATTATGTTGTGTTCTCTTTTCTGAATAGTTTCTTTGCTCATTTAATTGTAAGGACAGTTACCCTGTAAGGTAGCCTGTAAGGTATTCACACCAATGTCAATAAGTTTTTTGTTTTGTTTTTATATTGCTAGGGATTGAACCAGCATTCTCAGTCCCATGTGAGAAATCTGAGACTCAAAAAGAAGAACACAGATTAGAACTGAATCCTGCCAGTACAGATAAGGTAGGTGAGAGGAGAAATTTAGAAATAAAATTGTCCCTAATTATTTCTGTAATTAATATTGTTTTTAAACTTTTCTGGTTTATCATGAAAATTGAATTGATTTTCTCCTTGTTTTTCAGTTGCATTATCATCCAGGCTGGCTCCCTGAACTCCTGGGCTCAAGTGATCCTCCTGCCTCAGCCTCTGAGTAGTTGGAAATAAAGTTATGCACCATGGTGCTGAGGTGATTTTCTCCTTTTGTTTATCAATTGAAATAAATGAATAAATAGGCTGTAGATATATTTAGGAGTGTGTGAACATCTACTTCCACATCTGGAACATGTGTCTCTATCTGTTCCCTTCACAGCCTACTTCAATTGTCTGAAGGCACTTTTAATGTTTTTCTAGACTGCCTGGAAGATGGGGCTCCTCATAGTTTGCAGAGTAATGTCAGGGAAGATTTGTTCTTCAGAAATTGATGCCTGTAGTGACAAGAAATAGTTCCCTGGCAGGCAGGAAGAAAAAGAATCCCTACACACACACACACACACACACACACACACACACACACCTTCATCATGTTTATAAGTATTGTTTCTCTTTCTCAAGGTTGTAGAAATGAGTGATAATTTTAACTGTGGTTTTGTGAATGTGCATATGAATTTCAGCATTATTGCCACCATTTAATTTTACGTCTAGAATTATTAGAATTAAGGATTCCATATTTTTCAATGTAAGGTAAGTCTCATCATTGTAAGCCAAAAGCTCAAACTCCAGAGATCTTGTAGTATTTAGGAGAAAGTGTCTATATTCTAAAATTCTTTTCCAGAAGTTTACTAAAGGTAATTGTGGCATGTATGTTTATTTGTAGGGACTTGTAACATATGAATATACAAACCAAACAGGTGAATTCTTTCACCATTGCTACCGCGACATTTTACCACAGAAGAGTACCACTGTACATAAATTCCAAGCAGAGTAAAAAGAAAGAAAAAGACCTGATTAGACCTGAGACTATCTATAGAACGGGATGACGGCCACAGCTGCAGCGGAGACACCAAAAATGGAGAAAAGTGCCTCCAAGGAAGAGAAGCAGCAGCCTAAGCAAGATTGCATAGAGCAGGGCAATCCTGATTCTGAAGAGTGGATGAGCTCTGAGAGTGACCCTGAACAGATAAGCCTTAAGAACAGCAACAATAGCTGTAAACCTGGAGATGGTCAATTGAAGAAAAAGGAGATGCCTTCCAAGCCACACCGTCAGCTCTGTCGATCACCCTGCCTGGATCATCCAAGTTTCTCCCAGAGCAGCCTTTTACAGGATAGTAAGTTCAACTTGGAGAAAGAATATCAAGCCAAGATGGATTTTGCTCTAAAGCTGGGCTATGCTGAAGAACAGATTCAATCAGTGCTGAATAAGCTGGGCCCAGAATCACTCATTAATGACGTATTGGCAGAGCTTGTCAGACTTGGAAACAAAGGTGACTCAGAAGGGCAGGTCAACTTGAGTCTGTTAGTGCCCCGGGGCCCCAGCTCCAGAGAAAGTGGAAGCCCTGAATTGTCTCTTGAAGATGAAATAGACAACAGTGATAATTTGAGGCCAATTGTCATTGATGGAAGTAATGTGGCAATGAGGTAAGTAAACCTTGTGTATTTTTTAATCTTAAAAAAATTGTCTTCCTTTGCAAAGTATTACAGGAAGCCCTTGGTTGTCTGTGTCTTGCATTTCTGTAAGTGAATAGAGGCTATAATGATGCTGACCTTTTCTTTTCTCTCTTCTTTGACATCACTGTCAATATGTTTACAGTTGTTTTAAAGACAGTTTAGACATCAATGGTGCTTCAAATAAGATATGATAATTTAGTTCTTAAAATCTGATGTCTCATTCCTTGCATATCTAGACTAATTATCCTGAAATTAATCTTTTCAGAATGTCACTTGGAGGTTTACTCAGGAACTTTCAGTAACTCCCACTTGCTGTTCCAGAAAGTTTGGCTCCCTTTATCTTTTTTTTTTTTTTTTTTTTTTTATTGTTCCAA